AAAGAGTACGGCTTCCATGCCCTCTCCATGTGCCACCCTCCTGTCACCTCCACGTGTTTAGCAACCCGAAAGCTCTCTGAACCCTGTACTTCTGGGATTTTTATGGAGGCTTCATCACATAGGCTTGATTGATCAGTCTCCATTTCTTTCTCCTTCCTAGAGTATGGGGGGTGAAAAGTTTTAAGCCTCTAATCATGACATGGTTTTTCTGGTGACCAGCCCCCCCATCTTAAAGCTATCCAGTAGCCTACCAAATGTCACCTCAGTAGAACAAAAGACACTCCTATCACCCTGGAAATTACAAGTGTTTCAGGAGCTTTATGGCAGTAACCAAGGGTAGAAACCAATCAACATATGTGTTTTTTTTTTATTATTTTATACCATACATTCCAAATTTTCATGCAATTGTAGTCATTGTCTACATGTTGTTATATAGTATACTCCTTTCATGTCACAATATTAAACAAAGATTTTTCCACATTTCTGTATTTTTCTGTAGTTAGCATTTTTATGGCAGATGCACATTCACTTTGTATTACTATAACAGTTTTTGTTGCACCCTGGTTGGGCATTCAAGTGTTTTTAGTTTTATACTGTTATGCATAGTAAAACAATTCATGCCCTTAGAAACAAAGGCTTATTTTTCCTTTGAGATACAGTTGTCTGTTGGTATCCGCCAGGGATTGGTTCCAGTAACCCCTTTGGATACCAAAGTCTGCCAATGCTCAAGTGCCTTGATTAGCCCTCCGTATCTGTGGGTTCCACATCCTCAGATTCAGCCACCTAGAGTTTTCAATCAGAGGTTGATTGAATCTTCAGACATGAATTATGAATATGGAGGGCTGACTACTTTCTGGAATGTGTTCTGCAGGTTAAAGGTTCTGATTGACTTCAATGGTTCTTGTTAAGTGCTTTTGGATTTCGTCTCCAAGTGATTATACTAAAAAGCATCTCCAGCAGTAATGTTGTATGTTTACCCAAGTCTCCCTTGATATTACATTTGAACTTTTTAGTTGTTTTCTCTAATTTAATGAGAGTCATCTCGTGTACTTTTAATTTTATACTTTTTAAAAACTTTAGTGGTTAAATATTTCCCCAACACATGGTACTCATTTAGTGTTTCTGTTTGATGTCCTTCAAATGATTTCCTAGGAATGATGACTTCTTACAGAATTAAAAAATATTTTCTCACCTTATGCCTGATCATCCTAGAACTATTTTACTGAGTTAGGCTTGCAGTGGCCATAACGGACCTGCTAGAACTGATGGCTAAGCCTACTGTCTGGCAGCAGCTCTCTGTGTAGGACAAAGGGTGACCTGGTGCTGAGAATTCCATGCTAAGTGAGAAGCCTAAGGTTCTTAACATTTCTCAGACAGACTTTCTCCAAAAGGGCTTTGGCTTATAATTCCTGAAGAATTAAGAATAATTCCTGGTGAGTGATTTAAGAGAGCTTTAAAAACCAGGGTTTATAATGAGGGTTCATGTTCTCCTTTATTCCATTCACTAAAACTTTTCTTTTACATTTCTTAAAACATACATACTTAATTATTTGAGTATGTAACAGATTAAAATGATTCAAAATGGCAAAAGTATAAAAAGGCGTACAAGACATTTTTCTACCCATCTTCCCAATTTCCACCTTGTCCCCAAAGGAAACCTTGATTATATATGTATTCAGAATATTTTTGTTCACATATGCAAATTTAAATATACTGTATATTGTCCAGTTTTACACAGACAGTAATCTATGCATGTGGTTTTGTACCTTGTTTTTCACATAACTGTATATCTAGGACGTAATTTACAGTATGCTTTTTCAGTCTCATTATAATGACAGTCTAGTGTTCCAATGTATAATAACTTATAAGGTCCCCTATTGATGGACATGTAGGTGGTTTTCAATCTATTATAAACAGTGTCGCAGTGAATAACCTTGTACTTACATTATTTTTCACTTATGTAGGTAGATTACATTTCTCCAAGAGGCATTTCTGGGTCACAGTATATAAACATTTGTAATTGCGATAGCTGTTGCCAAATTGCCCTCTTTAGGGCCTGTTTCCTCTTGGCTATTCTTTATTATTGAATTACATTTCAGAGAAGAAGTGCAACGGATTCCGCTGCCCGAATGGCACCTGCATCCCATCTAGCAAACACTGTGATGGTCTGCAGGATTGCTCAGATGGCTCAGATGAGCAGCACTGTGGTGAGTCCTCTCTCTGCCCTAGGGAACCACATGGTGGTTACGAGTGAAGGGCATGTATTGGACTAAATCCTTTCATTTCCTCTGTACCTACTTGTAGTTAGCTTATAACCAAGTTGATGCTGAGTGCTTGACTAAGACTCTGAGAGGCTGATCATGACAGAGAGCCTTGGTCTAGGTGAAGGATAGTGGAGTGGGAAGAGGGGTGATTGTGGAATTAGGTCATAGTTGGGTACATGTTATTGTTTAGTTGCAGTATGTTCTGTGACACAGCCAGTTATTTTGAATTGGATACTTATTTCTCCTACTTTCTTGGTTTTATTCATGTCACTGATTATCACTCTGGTAACATTTTGAGTCTGGGTGACCCTTTTTATCCCCAGTTTTCTTTAGACCTAGAAAGAATGTCTTGGGTCAGGAGTGTTCATCCATGAGTTTATCCATTGGAACTCATGGTGACCAGGGAACTTTAAAGGCTTATGATTACCAGGTCTCATCCCCGTCCTGTCCCCAGAGATTCTGAGTTAATTTTTAGAGTGTGGCTTGAGCATTGGAAGTTTTAAAAAGTGCTCCAGGTGATTCTAACATGAAATCTAGGCTGAGAAGTGATGTAATAGTGCCGGGGTTGGTAAACTGGCTTGTGGGGGAATCTAACCCATACCCTGTTCTATTAAGTGAAGTTTTATTTGAGCACAGTCACTACCATTTGCTTACATGCTGTCTCTTGCTGCCTTTGTGCTACAGTGAAAGAATTGAGTAGTTGTAATTGAGACTGAGTGACCTGCAAAGTCTTGAGAATTGCTCTCTAGTTGTGATAAGGTCTCCAGAGAAACAGAACCAGTAGGATGTGGATGTATATATAGAGACATTGATTTTAAGGAATTGGCTCATGTGATTATGAAGGCTGGCAAATCCAAAATCTGCAGGGTGGCTGGCAGGCTGGAGACCCAGACCAGCCAATGTTGCCATTCAATTCCAAAGGCCATCTTCTCACTATGGCCTCATATGGACACATATGGCCTTTTCTCAGGGCCTTCCATCTCTGGTGTCTGTCTCTTCTTGTGAGAACACCAGTCCTATTGGATCAGTGCACCATTTTTATCTACTTAACCTTCATTTACTTCTTTTAATAGTATTTATCTCATTTAACTTTCATTACCTCTTTAACAGCTCTATCTCCAAACATAGTCACATTAGGGATTAGGGCTTCAAGGTATGAATTGAGGGGGATACAAATCAGTCCATAACACCAGTCCTTCATAGAAGTGTACCAACCCCTTATTAGAGAGCTAGTATTATATTAATAGAGATTAAGATCATGGGCTGTGATGTCAGACAGCTTTGAATTTCAATTTTGGCTCCACCTTCATCAGCTGTGTGCTCTTGGCAAAATACTTAACGCTGCCATTCCTGTTTTCTCATTTTGAAAACAAGACAATAAAATCTCTCATAATGGTACCATGAGAGTTTAATGATGTGCTTTTATGTCAAGTGCTTTAGGTCAGGGTGTGGTACAAAACAAATGCTAAGTAAATGGTGGCGGTTACTCCTGTTTCCTGCATGTACATCTGTACCGAGTGCTCACAGCTTCTTCACTGGACCGCTTTCAGAGCCCCTCTGCACACGCTTCATGGACTTCGTGTGTAAGAACCGCCAGCAGTGCCTATTTCACTCCATGGTGTGTGATGGGATTATCCAGTGTCGAGATGGATCAGATGAGGATGCAGCATTTGCAGGATGCTGTGAGTGGGGCAGGCCGTGGGCTGGGGCACCATGGGTAACTGGCATTCACTGAAGAAACTACAAGGAGGGGCCACCCTGAGGAGGCACTTCTATCTAGTTTACAGGTCCTGTTTATGTGTCCAGTCTTGCTTTTTCTGAGGAAGGCTTACTGTTGCTGCTTCAGAAGTAGTGTTTATTAGTTGCTGATATATGAATAATGGGAAGATGAAGAATAACCAAGATCTCTGCTCAAATGCTGCCTTTCCTGACAGGCTTTTCTTGCCCCCTGGCTTGCTCCAGTGGTTTTCACAGCACTTACCACCACTTTGCACACTGTGCGTTAATTTTCCTGTGTGTCTCCCCCTGCTGGAATGTGTGTGTCATGAGAGCAGGGCCTTTGTCTGGTTCACAGCTATAGCCCCATTCCTAAAACTGCCCTGCATGTAGTAGGTACTTGTATTAACAAAGGACCTGCCATAACAAAGGACCAGAAACTAGGTGGCTTGAACAACAGAAATGTGTTTTCTCACAGTTCTGGAGGCTGGAAATCCAGTGTCAAGGTATTGGCAAGGTTGGTTTCTTCTGAGGCCTGTCTCCTTGACTTGAAGATGACCATCTTTTTTCTGTGTCTTCAGTTGGCCTTCCCCATGCCTGTCTGTTTTGATTTCGTCTTATAAGGACTTCAGTCATATTGAGTTGCAGCTCTCCCCTAATGACCTCATTTGACCTTAATTACCTCTTTAAAGACCTTATCTCCAAATGTAGTCATGTTCTTAGGTACTGGGGGTTAGGCCTTCAATTGACTTTCTCTTTCAAGAAATCCTTTAGACAGTCTCTTGGTGGAGGCCTTTTACTCTTTGCTCTTGTTTCCAAGCAGCGTTACTACCTTGAACTCCTCAATACGGAAATAGTCTGGGTTTCATGGATGTTTGTTCCTTATCTAGCCCAAGACCCTGAGTTCCACAAGGTTTGTGATGAGTTCAGTTTCCAGTGTCAGAATGGAGTGTGCATCAGTTTGATTTGGAAATGCGATGGGATGGATGACTGCGGCGACTACTCCGATGAAGCCAACTGTGGTAAGAAGGTCTTAGGTCTGCACCCTCTCACCCCTCTCTTCGGGTTACAGTGGTCCCTGTCGTTATAAAGGGGATGCTCACCAGCACACTCGTGCTAGCTTTGCCTTCTCCTCCCTCAGCAGTACTTCCTGCCAATTCTTGAATCTCCATGGAACTGAGTCTTGAAGTAGCAACCTGATTCTGAGTAGGTGTTAGGGGATGTTTATTCCATTTCCTTTTCTTTCCCCATCTGGAAGTTCACATTCTGTATTAAGGAATATAGTAGGTAAGGAATTTATGATAAATATTTCCTTCTATGGGAGGAATGTGCTTCCCCTTCCTCCCCTATAAGTAATAGATACCACAGTGTAATAACATCATTATCACCATTGTGTTGTCATCAATAGTTAGGTCATTCCTTTGGTAAAGCATCAAAATTAAGAACTCGAGTATCATTTGCAAGATATATAGAAGTGTAGGTCAGAGAAACATGAGTTGGGGTCTGGGAGGATGGGCTTCTGTTGAGTTTATGGATGTGTTTTTGGTCACCCACTGGGTCCAAGAAGCTGCCTTATCTTTCTCTGGTTGGGAGGGATGTGCAGGCCGCCCCGGAACTTGGGTGTCGAGGAGGCTGTGTATTTGGAGCTTTACGTTCACACTGGTGCAGGGCAAACGACTGATAGTGTGTTTGTTCTCAGAAAACCCCACAGAACTCCCAAACTGTTCCCGGTACTTCCAGTTCCAGTGTGAGAATGGCCACTGCATTCCAAATAGGTGGAAGTGTGACAGGGAGAATGACTGCGGGGACTGGTCTGATGAGAGAGACTGTGGAGGTAAGAGGTCCTGGGCTCTGCCCCACAATGAAGACACTCAGTGCCTGGCTTAGGCAGTGATATTTTGGGGGAGGGGTAACTCTCTGAGTTCTATCCTCCTCCCATTTGGAAAATCACGGTGGTTGGTTTCTTCCATTTCTAGGAGTATTAATTCCATATTTTGCAGTGCACAGTAAGAACCCTAGGGCCTGGCTACTCCGAGTTTAGTCTGCAGACCAGCAACATCTGTCTTTCTGTGGAGCTTGTTTAGAAATGTAGACTCCCCAACCCCACCCCAGACCTTCCTCCTGAGTCAGAATCTGCATTTAAACAAGCTCTCTAGATGCCATGTGTGCCATGATGCAGTTGAGAAGCCCTGAAGTGGAATGTATGCTCGTCCCTTTCAGTTTTGATTTTCTTATCTCTGAACCAGGCCTTGGGGTAGTTGTGGTATAATGTGAACCAAAACAGTGTTTAGACTCAGAAGGAATTCTTTCCATGCATTCTGAGTAACTTTCCTTCCATCAGCCTGCACAAGCCCCTGCAAAAGCACATTCGTCTGAATATTAGCCTAAATCAAATAAAATAAGTAAGGTGCATCTGCTCCAAGAAACGAAAAAAAAAAAAAAAAGTATATTCTGACATCCCATTATAAATGATTTTTAAATGAGCTACTCTTCAGAACTTTGCTTGATACTGGGCTGCTGCAGCTAAAACTGAGATATCCACAATTGTTTTGGGACCCGTTTTGGTCTGAGATCAAGCTTCTCATAATATTTTGGGTTTCCTTGTTTGGTGTTTTCCTCAGATTCACATATTCTTCCCTCCCCCACTCCTGGGCCCTCTACGTGTCCACCTAATTACTACCGCTGCAGCAGTGGGGCCTGTGTGATGGACAGCTGGGTATGTGATGGGTACCGAGATTGTGCAGATGGCTCGGATGAGGAAGTCTGCCCCTCACCTGGTGAGTGCTGGCCCCTGGCTTCTCCCTTGACATCTGCTTTTATAGAGAGGACTTTCCAGGGATTCATCCTGGGCACAGCATGGCCGGGCTGATGCCCTGATCTCTGGAACTCTGCTCGTTGGCCAGGCTGCTGCTCACCGACAGAGCAGAGACCCATGGAGACTTGGAACTGGGGTAGCTCATCATCTATAATTTCCCTCTGATCTTCCTGCAAGAAAAGGGCAGCCACCCTGCTTTCCCCGCTGGCTGCAGTTGGGCCACCTTTTCTTTCTTCTCTGAAGGAAATTACAATGAGAATTAAGGGGAGGTGTTCGTGCATATATTACTCTTAGGAGAGAGCCCAGTTTTCCTGCTTGCTAGTTGCCAGACCTACTAAATGAAGGGTAAGCACTGTCATCTAGTGGCTGAACACGGAGAGGCAGCTGAAGGTTTGTGCGGTTAACCATATTGCTGGAAGCTGGGTGAACTTTGAGACCCCGTTTAGCGCATGTCCTTAACTAAATCCAGAGGTAAGGATGCTGCGCCCTCTCCTAAACAGGATTTTATTTCAAACTCAATTATTGTAAGAGAATTGACAATTATTTGCCATGCTTTTTCTTAGCAAACTTCTATGTCAACTATCTGATTTTCCTTCTTTAATACTGTTTTCATCTCACTGCTGCCCTGTTTAAAATCATGAGTGGTTTCCTCTTTTCCTCTGTGCAGGAGCTAGATCCTCACCCCTGAGTCCTATTGTCAAGGCCCTGTGTGAGCTGACCACCCCTTGCCTGCCATTACTTCTCACATCCGCCAAGCTGGGCTCCTCATCCACTCTGGACAGACATGCTGCTTCTCTGCCTATATTCTTTCAGAGTATTGCCTTTTCAGAAACCTTTGCCATCCTTGACTTTGTCCTCCTACTTCCATCTCTGTGAAACCCACTATTCCTCAGAGCAAAGAGAAGCATGGATTTTGTAGCTAAAAGAGACCTCGATATGTTGTCAGTATTTCTCAAAATGTGGCACACAGACCACCCGTAATGGAATTATTTGGGATCTTTATAAAAAACATAGAATTAGAAATTCCAGGTGGAACCCAGGAGCTTCCCATATGATCCTTAGGTTCATTGAAGTTTGAGATTCCTGCTTCCAACAAGGAGGGAATTAGTCTTCTCTCAAGCCCCTCCACCATGGAGCTTTCATTAAGTCCTTTAACTCAGTGGTTCCCCAACCTTTTTGGCACCAGGGACCGGTGCTGCTAAGAATATCTAATGCCTGATGATCTGAGGTGGAGCTGAGGCAGTGATGCTAGGGCTGGGGAGCAGCTGTAAATACAAATGAAAATTCCCTCACTCGCCCGCTGCCCACCTCCTTTTTTGCCGCCCAGTTCCTAACAGGCCACGGACTAGTACCAGTCTGCAGTATGGGGTCTGGGGTTCCCTGCTTTAACTGATTTTTTTTTTTTATCTCTTTTCCAATATCAACTTATCTTTTGATACTTACTATGATCTGCCATCATATCACTTCCTAATCATTTCATCTGTATAAATCTTTTCTTTCCATAGCGATTGTGTGTACCTTGTGTTTTGGGATCATGCTGCATACTACTTTGAATACATCACTGTGCTGACCACAATAATAGGCATATAGTTGGTATCCCATAAATTCTTCTCAAATTAAAACTACTTGTAAAACAAAACAAAACAAAACAAAAGCTTTTATCTCTGCCTTTTCCCTCTAAGGCCTACCTCTCTATTTAGAAGCTTGATAATTCTTTTCTCAAAATTATTTTCAGTTATTGAAACTCTGACTAGGACGTTAATAAACTGTAGTGAATTCTGACTAATCCAATGAGTGAGCAGATTGCTATTTAGATATTTCATTAAGCTTTTGTGATTTTTTTCTTGTACATTGTGTAAATTTAGATTGGTGTTGTCTCTAATGCTCAGATGTTATTTCTTCAGAGTAAAAGTCTCCTACCTGGTTTCTCTGCCTCAAGTCTATCCCCTTTTCAATTTATCTTCCAAGAAGCCACAAAGTGATACACAAGCATATCCTCTGCCAGTACTAGAACCTTCTGATGGTTCCTTTATTGTCCAAGTATGAGTGCCATGATTTGCCTTGACCTAGCTTTCTAGCCTCATTTTTTACCACTCTTCTCCAGGTACCTGTTTTAGCAGAGTGGTTCTGAGGGTTGGAAATCCAGTTAAAACTATGGAATACACATAATATCCAAAAGTTTAATACTTGCTTTTTTTGTTTGTTAACTCAGATTGTTTTGTACCATTTGCTAATGCTTTCCATCTGTCAGTAGCCTCTAAGAATAACTTCCCACTAGGTAACCATGTCAAATGATTCCTCAGCTCCAGTGTTTCTCTTGGTGATCTCCCTTCTCACAGCTGGGCCTCTCCTCTCTGTGCTTGCGGCATGCCCCTGACCTGGGACTTCACTGCCCTTCTCGGAATTTTTTTTGCTTTTTTGTGATTTAGATTCCCCATTTCATGGATCTTGTGTCTTGCTTTTTCTTGGTTTACTCCCTTGTTTTGGTGGAGCACACCCTCTAGTAGCTTTGTCAGATAAATGTGATGGTACAGTGGCCCAGGACAGTTGAAGGCCTTCAGTGTGTTTGTCTATTGAGTTTTGCTGCTCTGGTTCATGCTGGTTGCCCTTCATGCCTGAGACACAGGTGTCTTCTGGGCTGTTGCTTCTCCATCATCCTAAGGACTCACTTTAGCTCTCTTTTGTGTTGGAATATTAGTTTTCTATATCCCAAATTTTTCTTTTTTTTAATCCTATGTTTTGGTAGAGAACATTTTCCAGAAAGTTCCTGAGAAAGAGTATATGAGAGTGAGGTCTTGCTTGTCTGAAAATGTTCTTCTTTTCTGTCTTTAGACCTGACTGATAGTTAGGCTGGGTTTGGAATTATAGATTGTAAATAATTTTCCTTCAGAATTTTGAAGGCATTGCTTTACCGTTCTTCAAACAACTCTTGGGCAATCCAAAGCCTTTCTGATTTTGATTTTTCTGATGTAACCTGTTTTTACCCTATGGAAGCTTATAGAATCTTCCCTTTGGCTCCAGTATTTTTATATTTCACAGTGATGTACTTTGATATGGGTCCTTTTCTGTCCAATTAGTGGACACTGATAGGCTTTTTTTATTCTGGAAATTTACGTATTTTAGTTTTAGGAATTTTTCTTGAAATATTTCATTTATGATATTTTCTTCTTTTTTTCTTTTTTCTGAAACTCTAGTCATTCATATATTGGATCTTCTGATCTGGCCCTCTTTTTGTTTCTAATATTTTCTATTTCATATATATATGTGTATACATATATATATATGCACACGTGCATACATATATACATACATACGTACGTACATACATACATACATACATATTTTTTTTCCTACTCTCTGGAAGATTTACTCAATTCTATCTTCCAACTCCTCTACTGAGTTTTCCATTTGAGTTTTCATGGTTTTAATTTTAAGAACAGTACAATTTTTAATCCTGCTTTTTTTATGGCATCTCGTCCTTTCCTCATGGATAAATATATTCTTTCTAAACATATTAAAGATTTTTTTGAAGATTTCTTACAAAGTCTCCATTTCTTCCACATTTCCTTTTTTGCAATGGGAGGGGGTCCACATTGGTTTTTGTCTTTCATGTCAAAAGCTTTCCTCAGCTGCTTGCTTGTGTTTAAGGTTGGGGACTAAAAATACTGCTAAGAAATTCTGCACACATGGGTAGGCTTGTCAACTTTGAGTTTCATTGTTGAGCTGTTTGGAGAACTCTTGATCTGGGTTACCTTAGGGTTTGTCTCTGAGGCTGGTCAGTTTTTCTATAGAAGATTTTTAGTCTCCTGACTGGAGAATATAGGTCTTACTGGCAGGGTTTCTGAGCAAGAGGAGAAAGATCTTCCTTTGCATTCAGCAATCTGTATGTTTAATCCCCTCTTTTTAGTACCACATTCTCAAGTCCCAACTATGCCTGTCTAAACAGAGTTCTTTTTACCCACTCCAAAAAACATTTCTCTAGCCTTCTATGGTGCTATGTGCAGAGTGATTGCCTCCCAGAGCTAGTGGGGGAGGGGTCATAGAGAGTCTAGCTGCTTCTTACGTGTCTTTCAATTATTTTCTTTATTGTAACTTTCTATTTCGCCCCTAGTTGAGATACAATTTTTGAGCTTTTTGAGGTTTCTGTGATGTTGATTTTGCTGGTTCTTAGCTTTTTCTCTTGACAGCTTAGGATAGAATACAGTCTCCTATGGCTTCTTTAGTCACCTGCCACTGTCTGTCTGCTTTCCAGCTTCCAAAATTTTGTCACTCTTTCTTCTTATAGTGGGGTCCTACGAGAGCAAAGTTAGATGCCCGCGTCTAGTCACTCTGAGGTTTTTATCCAAAGCTGACATTTGTCTTCAGATCCTTGCTATAATTCCTAAAGTGCTGTAACCTCCTAACACATTAAGTTGGTTGCAGTTGCTGACCAGCTCTCTCAACACTAAAAAGTGATTTTAAAAAATCTTCTTTTCTAGCAAATGTTACTGCTGCTTCCACTCCCACACAGCTTGGGCGGTGTGACCGATTTGAATTCGAGTGCCACCAACCAAAGAAATGTATCCCCAACTGGAAGCGCTGTGATGGCCATCAAGATTGCCAGGATGGTCAGGATGAGGCCAATTGTCGTGAGTAGTTGAAGAGAAATTCACCCCCCAGGGAAGATTTTTTGAGAGCATAATATCCCATTACTTTTGCTTCATTCTTCCCAATAACCTTATGATTTTGATATTATCTCAATTTTAGAGATAATAAAATTAAGCTTCAAGAAGGGTCATGTAATAGACTGGGGTATTTATTTAGTTGGTTTTTTTTTTTCATACAGTTATGATTTTTTCATCATGCCATGTTGAAAGTTCTTGTATGGTGGAATACTTCAAATAACACAGAGAAATTAATTGAGGATTAGTATAAAATTCTACATTTACATTAAAAGAATGAAAAAGGCTACCCTTGGGACATTAAAATGACAGGTCATTTGACCCCACACTTACCAAATAATAATAGAAACATCTGAGCCAAGTAAGTAACCACACAATAGGTGAACATTGAAAATAATTAACAAAAAGGAACTGGAATAGGACCTTCCTCCTGGGTGAGATTAATTCATTAATTGGTATTCTTTAAATAAGTTTCTTTAGGCTGTTTTAAATCTGCTTTATTCATAAGAATGTTGCTTAGTTCAGGATGGATGGGTAGAAAGATGGATGAATTTCATCGTGGGCTTCTGAGACTGTTACACTAGTGGTTCTCAAACCTTTTCTAAATACTCTAATTCAGTTTTATCTGTAACAGAGCCCTCCTTCCTACTTCCCCAAGGTAAACCAATTTCAGCTCAGCATATACCAGCTCTATGATACAATAATTTTCCAGGAGATGGGGGATTATAATTTGTAAAAAGCCTCACAAGTGGTTTTGCAATTTTCCATTTCCCATTGAGAATTAGTATATTAGAGAGTTCCCTAAAAATATATATTTAACTGAAGTCTGTACCTCCACTCTAGAGACATGCAAAAAAGCCTTAATTTTTCTTTCACGTGAAAACTCATCAGTTGAGGACAATTGTTGTAGCATTCCATTCCTACCCCCAACTCCTGTATCTTTTCATCTCTAGGAAAATATCCCTGAACCCTTTATCCTCTTGACCATTCTGGTGCTCTGATGTGAACAGTGTGTACTTTTTTTACCTATATCTCAGAGTGTGCTTTTCAGAAGTGGATACAGTGCTTGAGATAGAAAACAGAATTACCTGTTCTTGTTCTAGAACAGAAGTTCTCAACCCTGGCCAATTCTGATGAATCTCTGTGGAGCTTGTAAATGTTGCACATGCTCAGCTCCATATTTCTGCTTCAATGTGTGTTTAGGGCTCATCCTAAGAATCTGTCAAGAATTATAGTTATAGATTCACTACTCTCAGATTAGTACAGTGGTTTAGTGGTCTCTTTGATAATTTCTTTTAGTATTGATATACTCATTGTGTTTAATATTGTATGTATATTTGCATGGGGTGGGGAGCAAGAGCTAGGAGGGGTTCAGTCTTGAGTCCCAATAGAGAAATTATAGTATAAACCCAGAAAACCAAGGAAGATGTAAGATCTGGGCAAATACAGAGGTTTGAGCCTATGTTAGTTTTCTATGACCACTGTAACAATCAATACAAACCTAATATTAAAGCAACACACATTTATTTTCTTACACTTTTCTAGGTCAGTAATCAGGCACAGGTCTCACTGACTAAAACCAAGAAGTGGGCAGGGCTGGTTCCTCTGGATGTTCCATGGGAAAATCTCTATCCTTGCTTATTCTAGCTTCTAGAGACCCCCTTCTTCTATTTTCAAAGCCAGCAGCAATCCATCTTTCTGATGCCGCTTCTGTCTTCACATCTTCCTCTGTGACCACAGCCAGAAAATGGCATCTGTTTTTAAGGACCTAAGCGATTAGATTGGGCCTACTGGGATAATTCAGGATAAACTTCCTATGTCAGGGTCTTTAACTTAATCACACCTACAAAGTCCCTTTTGCCATGGAAGATGACATTTAACATGTTCCAGGGATTAGAATACGGACATCTTTGACTTGGAAAAGCAAGAGGAATTTTAGACCCTCTTCACTATTACAGCCTCTCCTGAATCTGTATAAAGAAGGCCTCAGTACCTGTACGTGGGCCTGACCTAGACCCTCCTGGGTCAGTAGATTTGGTTTCTATGGCCATTTTCTTTTTTTCTCTTTTTATAATTTGCAATTATATTGCCATTGCTTGCTTTTTAGAGCCTTATGCAGTTTAATTCTACTTACAGAAATGGAAAGAACATCAAATTATGGTTTATAGCAATACAGTTGTATAACTCTTAATTTACCAATGCTCTGTATTTGTGATATTTCATTTTCTGGTAAAATACTTTGAAACCTAAAGAATTAAAATATTACATAAAGTGGGCATGCCTTCTAATATTGTGATTCATCTTATTATTAGTATTACTCAAGACAGAAATCAAAGTATCATTCTGCAAACTAATACAGTAACAGAATAATTAGTAGCACTATAGGGTTATAGCTACAATTTGTTGATGCCTGCTATCAGCCAGGCACTATTCCAGGTGCTTGATTTCACTGGATCCTTGTAGACACAATAGTGATGAAATTATCACCCCAATTTTACAAACGAGAACTGAACGTGGGTACCATTAAGCAGTTTACTCAAACTCTCTTAGAGCCAAAATTTAAATTCTAGTTTGTTAGATTCTTTCATGACTCTTGCTTGTCATGAAGGCAGATTCCAATGAAGAGTATCACAGTGCCTACATGGAGTCACCTCTCATCATTCCAGAGGCATATTATGAAGCAGAAGCTGATTAGTTCATAGAATGCAAACCACTTTTCCCAAACATGATAGACCTTTAGTACAACATGGCCCCTTCTCTGTGTTTCAGCCACACATAGCACTTTGACCTGTATGAGCAGAGAGTTCAAGTGTGAGGACAGTGAGACCTGCATCCTGCTCTCTGAACGCTGTGACGGCTTCCTAGACTGCTCTGATGAGAGTGACGAGCAGGCCTGCAGTGGTAAGTGCTGGGTTCTCACTCCCTCATTTACCTCAGTGCTTATCCTGGGCCCTCCTGTGTGGACTTCTAGAGAGAACCTTTCTGAGATTTTTCTCAGTTTGAAAATGAAAGATTTTTGTCCTATTTTGGAGTATGAAATAAGGTAAGACTTGTCCCACCTCTGATAGAGCTTCCAGCTAATCTCATCCCTGTTTGAGAAACACTGATCTAAGACTGGTATTCCGTGGACTTCCCACCTTATGTTGATGCACTGTTGCGCTCACGGAGCCTCGGGCTTTGTGATGGGATAAATGCAGTCCTGTCTAGAATGCATTTAGAAATTGTCTTTGTCCTTTTTGGCTGCTACAACAGAGTACCGCAGACTGGATGACTTATAAACAACAGAAACTTATTCCGCAGTTCTGGAGGCTGGAAAGTCCAAGATCACATCACCAGCAGGTTCAGTGTCTGGTGAAGTCCTACTTCCTGATTCTTAGACAGCTGTCTTCTCACTGTGTTCTCACATGATGGAAGCTGTGAGGGAGTTCTCTAGGATCTCTTTTATGAGGACACTAATCTCATTCATGAGAGCTCCAACTGCATGACCTAATCACCTCCCAAAAGGCCCCATCTCCTAATGCCATTATATTGGGGGTTACGTTTCAGCATGTGAATTGGGGGATGGGGGTGGCACAAACATTAGTTTGTAGTGATAATAGATCCTGCTGTGACAATGGCCTTGTACTTATAGCATTGAGTATTAAGAAACAACCTTAAACGAGTACAGCCAAGGAGAAGAAATGCAAAGAAAAATATGACTGGAAATTGAGGAGACCCTGGGAAAGGTCATATGGGAAGGTTTCCATTCTGTTTTCTCGGGTGTCTTTTAAGATAATGATTGTGGCCCTACAGTCTAGATCATGGTAGATTTACTAAAAATGAAAGAACCTCTGAAATCTAAGAATTTGTAAGATATCACCTTCTTTCCCTTTTCTCCCTTTATCTCTCTAGATGAATTAACTGTATACAAAGTACAGAATCTTCAGTGGACAGCTGACTTCTCTGGGGATGTAACTTTGACCTGGATGCGGCCCAAGAAAATGCCTTCTGCTTCTTGTGTATATAATGTCTACTACAGGTGGGTCCCTATTTGCCATGGGAGAAATGATGTCTTCATTTTCACTGGATGTTCTGTAAACTCTTGTAGTGTGCATGGAATGGCTGTTTATTAAGAGTCAGATATTTCAGCTATCTCCTGCTGCTTTGATAGGACTGTATCTTTCTTCTGTTGGTTAGGGTGGTTGGAGAGAGCATATGGAAGAGTCTGGAGAGCCACAGCAATAAAACAAACATGGTATTAAAAGTCTTAAAGCCCGATACCACATATCAGGTGAAAGTCCAGGTCCAGTGTCTGAGCAAGGTACACAATACCAACGACTTTGTGACTCTGAGGACTCCAGAAGGATGTAAGTGTTACAGTTTATTTTTATGGCATGTATAAGACCTTATGTGGAATTTTCTGAGTTTCCCAATGATGCTTAGGACTGTTGGGAACATAATCACATGTGCCTCATATGAACAGAAGTATTGTGGCTAAGTTTTATGGTCTTGCCTAAGTTTTTGAACATTTATTCTCCTTAATTATGTCACATAATGTTCTTGTACCTTAACAGGATGGTTTAAGATTCTGTCCGCCATTGCCTTCTTTGTGTTGCTTTAGTCTCTGTCTCTACCTTCCGTTTTAGGTATTTCCTAGTACTTGGTACTTATGAACTCACCATTGTTAAAATATGAGGCAAGTCAGAAGTATTATCGCTAAGTTTTTATGATATTTACCAAAACGTGTTCAAGAGAGTCCCTATTCCCATACTTTTGGGGATTCTTCATTTGAAACTGCTGTCAGAACCTATATGTTGTCTTTATTAAATTAACGTTTGTTAAGTAGAGCCCTGGGTGTTGAATAGTCTACAGAAATCCACAGGGGAAGTTAAAATGGAGAAATTCCTTAATCCCAGGTCCCGGAGGAGGTACATGCTTTCCTCAAGGGGTCACTCAGGAGGTCAAGGCAGGGTACAGGCAGAAGGAGCAGGAGGACCTTTATTAGAGTCCTTGGGTAAAGTGCTTTGAGGTTCCCAAGCTAAGCCTGGATTGGTTGAATCCAAATGAAAAAGAGAGAGTTTTGGTAAGCTTTGCTGGGGTCTTCCCTGAGGGGTTCATGATGGGAAGGCCCTGAAAGATAGGGGAGACTGCTGAGCACAAGAGCTGTTGGGGAGATCATATCAGGAACTTATATTTGCTTGTGATGCTGCAGACTGCTGTCCAGCGTATGTACTTGTATGAGGGGCTCGTGTCAGTTTAAGGACCCCTGGAGGCTGCTTGGACAAATGAAATGGATACCAAAGCAGCAAGACCATAGAGTAACTCAGCTAAACTCTCAACACTATGGAATTATCTTTGAAATATCCTATTCATTGATTTTCTTTCTACAGATATTAGCTGGACACTCATTATTGCTCAGGTATTAATGTAGATATTGGAGATTTGGAGATAAATAAGACACAGTTACTGCCCTTAAAGAGCTCGTAGGTCACACTGATTTTTGATGAATTCTCATTATATTAGTTTGCTAGGGTGGCCATAACAAAGTTTCATGGACTGGTCAGCTTAAACAACAGAAATTTGTTTCTCACAGTCTTGGAGACAGGGAGTCTGAGATTAAGGTGTCTGTAGGGTAGGTCTTTCTCCTTGGCTTATAGATGGGTGTCTTCACATAGTCTTCCCTCTGTGTGTGTGTCTGTGTCCTAAATTCTTCTTATAGGGACATCAGTCATATTGGGTTAGGGCCCACCCCAACAACCTTATTTTAACTCAATTACTTCTTTAAAGACACTATCTCCAAGTACAGTCACATTCTGTGGTACTGTGAGTTACAACTATAACATACAAATTTGGCAGGGGACAAAGGTCATACAGCTCAACTCATAACATTCATTTTCTGTGGATAAATGCTCTCTATAGAAAAAAATAAAGTTTGACTAGACAATATTGTAACTGGTTTTCATGTGTGGCTTCTAATCTGGCTCTGAAAGCAGTCACATAAGACAAGACCCAGAAATGGCTTGAACGTGCCTGCACTAAAATCATTAAAGAGTCTGCTTGGAAGGCAATTCTATTCATTTGGACTTAGAAGTTCTATGCTGTTAGAAAATAAGTCTTCTTCCTTTATAATTATACCCATGGTACTCTGTTTTGTTGTATGAGAAGTCTAGGCAGCAAGTGCTGTCCTTGACAATTAAGATCTCAGCATTAGAGGTCCAGGGCCAGTGGTGACTCAGCCTGCCCAAGTAATTCCATCCTGTAGCTCTTGTGGGCTACAAATCTATGTAAGACTCGACTAAGGCATGATCTGATGTATGGACAGCACAGCTTGCATTCTGGAAGAGGTGAAATGTTTCTTGAAATGTGAAGACCAAGCTAACAGCCTTTTCTAGTTGATAGATCACAATGCCAGCTCTATATTCTTTCTTATCATTATTTTAAGCTCAAGGAAATTCCTCTAGTTAACCAGTATGCAGGTGTGTTTTAACCCCAATTGACTCTTTTCTAGTGCCAGATGCCCCTCGAAATCTCCAGCTATCACTCCACAAGGAAATAGAAGGTGTGATTGTAGGCCACTGGACTCCTCCCCTCCACTCCCATGGCCTCATTCGAGAGTACATTGTAAGTATCTTCTAGGAGTTGGCCATGTGGGTTGGGGCACTTAGGAGATTTCTGGGTCTGTTAAAGCAGAAATTGTTCTGCATAACTAGACCTGATTTGGTATAACCTTGTAAATAATGAAGATTAGAAGATTTTGCATTCACCCCTTCATCTTCCTCTGGCCTCCTTGGAAGGTGTTAAGATTCCCCAGATCTTTGGCTACCTTTTACTAAAATCTTTTCCTTCTCACTTTAGGTAGAATACAGCAGGAGTGGTTCCAGGATATGGGCCTCCCAGAGGGCTGCTAGTAACTTTACAGAAATAAAGAACTTATTGGTCAGCGCTCAATACACTGTCAGAGTGAGTTTTAGCATCCATTTCAGCCCTTGGCTCAGTCTTCGAACATGGGGAGATGGGTGCTGTTTCTCAAGAACTCTCTGCTTACCTTTATGAGATGCTTATTAGCAGCCTGCTAAATACCCAACCCCTTGCCCTGGGGAGTTGTTGTTTCTACTTGTTTCTTAAACCTCTGTTACAGAGAAGTTAAAATCAGACTTCCTTCAGATAACCAAGAATTTATGGCAATGCCACTTTACCTGCCTTTAACTCAGATATTCTGCTAACTTTCCAGCTCTTATACTTTTGCACCTACCTCTTTTCTGCTTATCTGTTGCTGCAAGGTGATACAGAGCTATAAGTGGCATTTATAAGTTGATACTGTGGAGTTCTTATATAAGAAATATATTACCAATATCTTTAGCAGAAAAGAGATTTTGTGCAGAACATGTTTTTTGAGATAATTAAGTACATACACAGACTCCCTTACACTGATAATTTTCTCAGTACTCTTTTTCATATATGCATATATGCTTATCTGTGTATATATGGACACGCACGCGCGCACACACACACACACACACACACACACACACACACACACACCTGCCCTTTAGGAAGACCTTGACATTCATCAGTCAGCAGACATTTCATAATCTCAGCACTGGCCCCATTTCCTTTACCCCAGGTTCTTTCGTATTGCCTCTTGCCCTCTCTTATTTCAGTTTCTTTAGCCTCTGAATATCCTGGATCCCTCTGCTGACACTTTTTTCCAACCTCATTGCCAAAGTCTCACCCCTTTAGCTCTCTCGGAATTCTTGCTCTATGGTACATTGCCTTTATTTTATACTAATTCACACTCTGATTTGAAAAGGTGGCTGCGGTGACTAGTCGTGGAATAGGAAACTGGAGCGATTCTAAATCCATTACCACCATAAAAGGAAAAGGTAAATGATCCCAGCGTTTGCAGATTTAGAGAAGAGAGCAACCCTGTGGAAGTAGCTTTCAGTGTGACTGGAAAATGGAGAAGCATAGATTAGAAAACTTCACACAGTCTCCTTCCCCCAACACATTTGCTTCTATGCCTGTCTCCACAGTGCTGTAGATACAGTATTTTTGGATGACTGTTGAATGTATTCCTCTTCCTAGAACTAAGCATTTCTTATAATGCAAGGGATTTCCAATGGCCATCAGGCCCGACCCTCTGTGCTCATGCAAATATACAAAATAGAAGGTGTCTTTTCCTTCACTAAAGATAAAGATGGTTTTGTAATGTTCATTTATGGTGTTTTAAATAGAGTGCCATGCTGATGCTTGTTCCTTCTGCCAGTGGCACTGACACACATTGTGTAGGTGGTGGTTTCTAGCACTAGAGCTGATATGAGTAGTGGCTGATTGCTGCCAAGTTCGGGGCACTTTGGAGTGCTCTCTGCTTTGCATACATCAATTCATCTATTTGAACCCTCAGAACCACTATAAACAGATAAAGAACTGGAAAGAGGTTATGTTACTTGCCACACAGTAATTGACAGAGCTGGCAGGAAACTGATTCGCCTGACTCCAAAGCCTGTGCCCTTAACCACTGTACTACCCTGCTTTCCTGGGCTGAGACACGTGCTTACAGACACTGGGTGGCTGGTTTGTCATCTGGTATGTGTGCCTCATGAGGACAGAGATCTTGTCTGGTTTCCTCTGCTCTCACTGGCACTGAGTAGGAACCAATGCAATAGTTGATGAATGAGTGAATTGAAGCAATTAAATGAAGGCTCTAGCACATTTTGAGAGACAGACAACTCAACTGCCTGAGTGATTTTCTTGATCTTAGACTTGGTACTTGGGGCTTTCGTTTCTGAACTTGTGAGTATTAAAGTCAGAGTGTCGCAGGGAATGTGATTGTGTATATTACTTTAATCTCAGCCTGTGAGAAATAGGCTTGGGTTGTAAAGGGTCACTGGTTGCCTTTGAAATTTAAGGTCATTGAATCAGGGCGAGGGGCAGCCAAATTCAGTGAATCCTGTCAGTCTTTGGAGCAGGGTGTTTATAGGGATTAGAAAAAGTGTGCCAAATTCATACTACCTTAGAGTTTTTATTATGGGATCATTTTCTTCTGCAAAATCAGGTTCAAAATATACTGACTGTTCAAACTGAAAAGAAGGGACTTTGGAAAGTCAACAAAAAAATATGTACCTTGAACTCCTAGACACAAGTCACACCTGCATTTGAAAATTTCAGTGGATAGTTACTTCTCTTAAAATTCTTTTATATGATTTTGATGAACCTTAGAGTACATTTTGGTTAGCGTATATGTAAGAGGCAACTATGTGCTGATTGTTTTGAAACATCTGTGACTTCACATCATAATAACATAAGAAGATGAAGGACAAAAGCAGCAGTGGTATCAACCAGAAGGACCAAATTAATTAGTGAATGTAGTGGATTAATAATAACAATGAGAAAGCCCACGGTTTATCCAGCACTTCTTGTGGAGTAAGCACTATGCTTGTTGTTTTACATGAATTGATCTCTTTTAATCCTTATCAGTCCCTCAAGTGTTCTTTTGATCATTCTGTAGCAGAGGAAACGGGTTTGGAGAGGATTGTGACTTGTCCCCAGTCGCACGATTATAATTTAGCTCAGCTTTATAGCACCACTTGTGCTATTTTGCTCTGAGTTGACTGTCTGAAACTCCTAATATCCTGAATCTCCTGGTTACTGCATTTTCCTCAAGCTCAGTTTTATTATTACATGGTTGATCATCTGGACAAACTTCTGGATTTTGACATATCTCTTTTGCCACCTAATCTTATCCATTTCTTTGAGTCTCTCTTGCCTTATCTGTAGAAGAGGTATAGGTTCTGAGAGTTTAATATACAAGTTGCCATTTAAATATTATCTATCCCATCAAGCCCTTTTAGTTTTTGCCTAGCAAAGCACTAGCAACTTTCTTGTGGACAGACCTTCAAAAGGATAACATGATGTTCATCACTTGAACTGAGAGGGGTCTTTTCTCTCTGCCATTCTCTCCTTTCCTACCCTCCCCCCACCCCCACCCCCCCCCATCCCGGCCCGCCAGCTCTCAGCTTGAGCTCTGGTCTTTTTAAGAATACTGGTGGCTTACTGGTTCTTTAATCTGTCATAGATGGGACTTTACTGGAAAGGGAGAGAAAGAGAACATTAGTTGAGTGCTAGGCACTTTACATACTTTATTTTAGTGAATTTCCCCAGCTCTGAAGTGTAGATCATAATTTTCAGGCTCAATGAGGATAAGTAACTTGCCCCAGGTTACGTAATTGTTAATGTCTGAATAGGAATTTGAACTCAAGTTTGCCAGACTCCAGAGGCTATGTTCTTTTCATTATGCCACAATACATTTATAATTTATGACTTACTATTTATCCTGCTGTCATCCTTCCAAAAGGACTGAGGCTCCTGGGTCTTTGTTAGTGCCAATAAAGGTGACACTCGCTGTGATCTCTGTACCTTTCAGAACCAGATTGAAATGGTTGTTTTGAGGGCATTTATATAATAGAACTTCATTGCTCGTCCTAATTGCCAGGATAGCTGACTGAGCCAAGATAGCTATGTGTTCACCAGGCAACTGTGGACCCAAACTCAGCTTCAGGAAAACAGTGGTAAAAGAGATAGACGAGTTAAAAACAGCCAAAGAAATGCCCTTTCTTCCTCTACTGAAAGATCGCTTTGTCTGTTGTGTTGAAAACTAAGTGCTGCCTTCCTCACTTTTCATCATGTGGTTTCTCTTTTTGAATTCCCTTTTGTTTTTAGTGATCCCACCACCAGATATCCATATTGACAGCTATAGTGAAAATTCTCTGAGTTTCACCCTGACCATGGATAGTGACATCAAGGTAATGTTGAAATTTCAAACTAGCAGTTGGATGGGACTTCACTTTGTGTGGGAACTGATACAGCAGAGTCCAGTAAGATTAAGAAAAATGAATGACATGGTCTAGCAAAGCTAAAATACCACAACTAGGTCGGGTTCCTTTTCTCATGAAGAATAACTTGAGTCTTCACATGTAATTATTCTGCCTCAGCCTGGTGCCTTTTTTTTTTTTTTTTAACCATATAATTAAATGGTTCACAGCTACAGTGCAAATAAGGAGTTGGTGTTAACAGAATATGTATGCCCTGTAATTTTCAGCTTTATTGGATTTCCTGATGCTAAGCACTAATGCAGAGGCTCCCACAGTGGAAGAGTCTTATGAGAGTCAGATACTTGGAAACATATCCACTTAACATCCAGCCAATATCTTCCTCTACCAACACCACCAGCACATCCGCTCGGCCCATCTGCATAGCCAGCTTCACCATAGTTATCTGTGTTCTCAAGTTGAGATCCACCTTCCATAGCATTCTTGTCCGTCTCTTCACATCCCTCCCTGTCTTTGAAGTTGTAGCAGGACAAAGAAACTTCAGAGTCCTTGTGCCATTTACTGAACTAGAATTTGGTGTCAGAGACAGTCAATGCAAGAAATGGCCTTATGTAGACCTTGTCTATCTAATCTTTTATTTTGTTTGTTTTGTATTTAAAGATCTTTAGATCAAATTCTTCTGTGAGCTCATCTTAGAAAAGGTAGTCTTTCCTGATACATGAATATATTTGCTTCTGTTAGACAATGAGATCTAACCAAGCCCCCTTTGTATTGTTGACCTCTTAGACTTCACTGAACTAAGATTTATCTTGAATTGTCATAACCTAATTATCTTTTCAATTTTTCCTTCTTCTGCCTTTATGAATCGGTTCTTGTCCTTTTATTCTATATTAATTTTTTGTTTCATTGAATCTACATTTTATAAAGGTCTCAAGTTTGTTTTTAGAAGTAGGTGGAGAACAACTAAATATTCAATGATAGCACAAATTGAACTATTTGAAAGATCAAAAGAAGCAACCTGTCCATTATAAGAAACAAGATACCTAGATAAACTATAGAAAAGGAGTACCTTTTGTGTTTGGTGTAGTCTATGATTATACTGTTTGCGTGACACGTTTCTTGGTTCTTGGCAGGTGAATGGCTATGTGGTGAACCTCTTTTGGGCATTTGACACTCACAAACAAGAGAAGAGAACTTTGAACTTCCGAGGGAGCATATTGTCACATAAAGGTAACACCTTGGAGCTGGTTGGTGTGTGAGCAGAACGGAGTAAGGCTAGACAGATGCTTTCCTGGCAGCATAGCTTGTGTGGCAGGTGCCCAGGAAAAGTGTGTGGGGTCTCCTCTGGCTGCCATTCTGGGTGGACAGAATGAGGATACTATAAATGACTACTGACTTCAGGTAAGGGATCCAGTTGATAGTTCCTCAAACCCCCTTTTAACCTGATGGCTCTTAACGTAAATTAGAGACTTAAAAAAAAGAACAACAACAAAAAAAAACCCTGGGAAGAAGCCAGATTAACCCTACACAAATGATTTTTGCATTCTAAAAGAAAGGGTTTCTAGATTTAGTTACCTGTCTCTCTTGTCTGGCCTGGTTCACTCCTCCTCTGCTAATACAAGGGCCTGATGCATAATTGGTGGTCAGTAACTATTTGTTGAATGAATAGACAAACAAACTAAGCTAAAGAAGGAAGAAAGAAAGTGAGGAAAGAAGGAAATGGTCTAAACTCTCTTATATCTGTGCAAATACTGAGTCTCAATTAAAATTCTCATATCTGATGGGCTCAAGGAAGGATTTTAATTTATTTCCAAGACAAAACCTTCAGTGGCAAAGGCTACCTGTGAATATTGAGAATGACATGGGAGCTTCTCTTTCTTTCCCCATCTAGCCCGATTGCAAAGTACTTTCAATCATGTTTTGTTCCTAATGGGTGCTCTATTATCTTTGTGTGTGCGTGTGTAGAAACTGAAGGCCACCCAAGGAGGTTGTACAAGAGTAGAAATAACATTGAGTACTTACTATGTGCAGGCATTTACCTAGGCATGCTGAGTGTATTGTTTTACATAGTGCCAATAGTAAATCTGTGGAATATGTTCATTTTAGAGATGAGAAAACAAGGTTCAGAGATTCCATCGGAAGGTGGCAGAGCAAGGATTGGAACCCACATCTTTCTAATTCCAGAGCTTGTGATCTCGTTGCCTCAGTGTCACACCAATAGAAATTGGCAGAATTGAGAACAAAAGGCTTATTAACTATTGCCTGAAATACTTAAGGGCTAGCTCTGTGCTAGGCATCATGCCAAGTACTATTCAAGTGTTTTCTTTTTAATCTTCTAATAGCCAGCTGCAAAAAATGCTGTTATTTTTCTCTATCTTACAAACAAGGACTGAGAAGGTTTAAATGCTTTACCCTTGGTAATACAACTAAAAAGTGTAGAGTCAGGCCTTGAACCCAAGTCATTCTGGTTCCAAAGGCTGTACTCTTAGATATCCTATGTTCACTTCTCTTTTACTTTTTAATAACATTTCCACCTAATTAGAAAAGAGGCACATGTTTATTACAGTGTCTCTGTCATTTAGAAAATGAAGTATAATGAGAATTTTAAATTTCGTATAACTTCACTTCCCAGGAAAACCACTTTTAAATTTTGATATCTTCTTAATTAATATTTTTTTCTCTTCATTGATCTTTTATATATTTTTTTATAAAATCAGAATAATATATACAGTTTTGTATTTTGCCTTTTTACTTAACATAAAATTTTGAGAATTTTCTAGTCTTATTAAATATTCTTGGAAATAATTTTTAGTGGCTGCATAATAGTTCATGGAATGCACATAAAGTTGATCCAATGTATATTTTTTAACTATTTCCCCGTCACTGGGCAATCACATTATGTACAGTTTTTTCTACTCTGACAAACACTGATAGACAGCCTGGTTGCACAAATTTTTTGATCCCTCTCTGGCTTCATAGGATAATTGGATCGAAGTTTGTTATTTAGAGTAGTCGTTATTGAATAACACCGAATGATTCTGTAAAATATGAAAATCCAACATGTGTGACTCACTTAAATTGAGCACTTAAATTAAAAAAAAAAAAAATGATGTGCATCTCAGGACATAAATTCTTGATTAACACCTCTAGCTCCCTCCTGACATCTCCTTGTCCTTGGTTTTACAGTTGGCAATCTGACAGCTCATACATCATATGAGATTTCTGCCTGGGCCAAGACTGACTTAGGGGATAGTCCTTTGGCATTTGAGCATGTCATGACCAAAGGAGTCCACCCACTTGCTCCTAGCCTCAAAGCCAAGGCCATTAATCAGACTGCAGTGGAATGTACCTGGACTGGCCCCAAGAATGTGGTAAGTCAGCCGGGATGACCACTGTCCCTGCTCCATACGCTTCCACCACAGACTTGCACAGCTTCCTACCCAACTTGGCACATCCGCTCAGCTCCTCATGCCCCTGCTTCACACTGGTAGAGTGTCACCCCCTTTTGGGAATCCCCCTCTTTTCCCTGGCTCATCATACAGTCTAGCATCTATCATTCTATGTTTGCAACTTGTTATTTGTAATCGTGTCTGTTTTCCTTCTCTGCCTATCTCTCCTCAAACACAAGCTCTTTGAGGACAAGAGACTACACTATATTTACCTTCGTAGGTGCAAGTACAGTGCCTGACCCATGTGCCTTCTCTGTAAATGAGCGGATAAAATAAATGTTAAATGAAGACTCCTCTGAGCATTTTTGAAGTGGTTCCAAGGGTCTGAAATCAGGGATTTCAAAAGAATGAGGTCACTTGTCACTGAGCTTATGTCCTTTTCTGTTCTCTCCTTTTATCAGGTTTATGGTATCTTCTATGCTACGTCCTTTCTTGACCTCTATCACAACCCAAAGAGCTTGATGACTTCACTCCACAACAAAACAGTCATTGTCAGTAGGGATGAGCAGTATTTGTTTCTGGTAAGTGTCCCAGACCACAGAGGCCAGAGGAGTTTCTCTTTTTAAGAGATGTCTTAGTTCCTGAGCTCCTTGCTGAGACCTGGGGTACTGGAGGCATGGATTCCAGGATTCCTGTGAGTGATGGGAGGGTAGTTTCTCAAATGCACAAGCATCAAGTTCTTGCTTGAAACACAGATTAAACAGCCATACCAACTGTGGCTCCATTGTGGAGGACTGAGAACCTGGCAGATGTGTCATAGGAATGCATAAAAGCTTTTGTCTGATTCTACTTCTAGGAATTTAGCCTATATACTTTTACACATGTGGTAAGATATATAGGAAGAAGTGTTGGATATACTATTGCTTGTGATAGCAAAAGATTTGACACGAATGTCTATCAAAAGAGGGGTGGTTAAAAATAGCGTAGCTTATCCTTGCAATGGAATGCAGGACAACCATCCGAAAGAAATATAACAACTCTAAATGTAGTTATACGAAAAAATCTGAGCTGTATTATTAAGTGAAAGAAGGGAAGAACGTAATAATATGCATAACGTTTTCTTATTTGTATAAAATTTTTTAAGAAAAATAACCTACATATACACACATGCATACATATATATGACACACACATATATATATGTATGTACACATGCATACATATATGTAACATATATATGTATGTATGTATCTACATACACACATATGGATTTCTATACTTATATATACTTAGGACATTTCTGGAGGGAAGTATGAAAACTGTTACCAGTGGTAACTGTTACCTATGGAAAAATTAATTAGACCTGTGGGGTAGGTGGGGAATTATTTTACATTTTACATCTTTTTGTACTGACTGAATTTTAATCGTGTGCATGTGTCACTATTTTGTTGAAAAAATGATTTTGTGAGGTCTGAATGAGCCCACATGGTATTTGTTTCAGGTTCGTGTGGTAGTACCTTACCAAGGGCCATCCTCCGACTACGTGGTGGTGCGGATGATCCCGGACAGCAGGCTCCCACCCCGGCACCTGCATGCAGTTCACACAGGCAAAACCTCAGCTGTCATCAAGTGGGAATCCCCCTATGATTCTCCTGACGAGGACTTAGTGAGTGGGCCGGTTGTCCTGGCGCCCTTGCTTATTTATAGTATGGTTTTTGTAGGGGAAGGGGCCTTGTATTGGGGCAAGAACCATAGGCCTGGTGGTTGTAGCTCAGCACAAGGTTTCCCCTTTCTCTCTGGCCAAAGATGGGGTCCTTATGGGTACCACTTCTTTGTTGTCACTTCTCTATTATTTCTGACAGCTATTTTGGTTCCTTTTTCTTCTCTGCCTTCTCACATTTCATTCTCTGACCTTACAAAATGGATTGGCAAACAAAGGCCTGCAGGCCAAATCTGGCTGTCTTCTGTCTTTGTAAATAGAATATTATTAGAATGAAACTATATCCATTCATTTACATATTATCTATGCATGCTTTCATGCTCCAAATGGCAGAGTTGATCTGGCTTTCAAAGCCTAAAATATTTACTATGTGCACCCTTAAAAAAAAGTTTACTGGCCCCTGATCTAAAAAGAAGCATTGATTCTAGAAAAACTCCTGCCCCAGGCTGCTTTTACCTCCATCCTCTCTGCCCTGCCCACATCCCAGCTCATGTGGTACTTAATACTTGATTGCTAAGATACTTCTTGACTCTCAACTTCTTTCTGATGATTGAGTTTCTTGTACTTACTACTTGTCCCTTTATTTTCCCCTTTCCTCCATATATGTAAGAAGCAGCCTGGGAGAGAGTAACTAAAGTTTTAAGTCCTTTGACCATTTCCATTCATTATCTCCTCTGACAACATCTCGACACTGTTAACAGTAGTGGAGATACAGAAGTTGAACAGTGAGTTTGGGTTTTTCTTGCCTGTTCCTATCTACCTGCTGATGCCACAATAAATGTGGCTTTCTCTAGAGTATTTTTTGGATTGAACTGATAATTTTATGCACAATTCTGGGAGTGAATACTTGTTATAAGGTTGGATCTAGTCACCCAAAGTCTTCCTAAAGAGGAGAGTCAGACTTTGGGGCTCAAAATGTTGTTGCTATGGGTCACAGCCACAGATATGTTATATCAACCATCATTGACCTACAAGGAATAAAAAAATGCAACATTTTTGATTACCATTAAAATGTCTTTTTCTTGTCCAGTTATATGCAATTGCAGTTAAAGATCTAATAAGAAAGAGCGACAGAAGCTACAAAGTAAAATCCTGCAACAGTACTGTGGAATACACTCTGAACAAGTTGGAGCCTGGAGGGAAATACCATGTCATTGTTCAACTGGGGAACATGAGTAAGGATTCCAGTATAAAAATTACCACAGGTAAGCAGAGAGAGATGACAGTCTTTCTTGCACAGCAGGGAGTGTACAGTGCTGTTAGAATGCCTTTACACAGGGAATTCTATCAGGAATTACACAGGAAGTACAAACACCACCCTTTAGTGTCCATACTGAGGTAGAGCAGTGTGGGAATCCATTGTCTGGCCGCAGTGTGGTTGTCAGAGCACTACGGACTGGGGAATGCTGTCACTTTCAAGATTCTGAATCTCTTTTAATCTCCTCTATGCTAGCCAGTTTTGGCATTTCTAGGAAAGAAGAAGAGGAATGCTCAAGAGAGTTAGGGAATAAAACTGTTTGCCACTAAAACCAAGCATTGCATTCGGGGACCAGGACTAAAGTCACAGTAGTTCCTAGTGACAATATGATATGTAGAAATGAAGGGAGACCAATAATTGAGCAGTAGATTAAAGAGGGACTTGCTGCCAGCCTGGGGCTGGCTCTGTAGCTCTGCAGTGAGGCTCAAGTTCAGAAAGCAGGTAATAAGCTCATTTATTTGGACAACAGCAGTGACAGGAATATCAGTAATGGAGGCTGGTGGTATGATCACTGGGCCCAGGCCATACTCTGTGGTCATTCCCGGGCTCTGACTTGAGGCCCTTTACTGAGCTCTAAGGCCCCTCTGCCTCTGGGGACAGGACTAAGGAGAGCAGAAGTCCAGGTCCGATCCATTCCATTTCATCCCTTCCTCTACCCCATTTGTTTTTGGCTGTCTTTGGGACTAAGGGTTACTAAATTATATACTGTACAAATTTCTTGGCTAAAGGTGTTATAACAATGACATATGCCAGTTAAAGAGTGTCTGCCACATGCTAGGCTCTATACTAAGCATACCTGTGTTTTATTTCTCCCTTAGCCTAGGCCCTGCAAGGTTAACATTATTTAATCTCCTTTTGACAGATAAGAAAATAGAAATTCAAATATATAGCTACTAACTGCATCCTATTTCATCTTTAATTTTCAGTTTCGTTATCAGCACCCGATGCCTTAAAAATCATAACAGAAAATGACCATGTTCTTCTGTTTTGGAAAAGTCTAGCTTTGAAGGAAAAGTATTTTAATGAAAGCAGGGTGAGTTCTTTCCTCCTTGTCAATGACTTTGGAAATGTAGTTGAAATGCTGCTTTAGAGATGAGCTCATTAGCTGACATAGAGTAAAAAGATAGTATAAGGCAGTGAACTTGAGAATTAAAGGACCATTTTCTATGAGGTTGTTAATTAGTGAAATGTTTATACTGCCCGTTAAAGATGAGAATCTTTATACTGAGCACTTTTCAGTCATGAACTTCTCTTCACCTGAAAGTCAAAGAAATGGGCCGAAGCCTTCACTGTGCTACTTGAAGCTGGATTGGGACTCGGCATTGTATTCAAGGGCCCCATCTTTTCTAAACCATCTGAGGGCAAGGCTGTGGCTTCAGTTATGGGAAGCTGAGCTGCGCTCTCAACCTGATATCTCATCAGTTTCTTTCCAGCGAAATTCAAGGGAGTGGGGAGTACTTGAAGATAGTGTTGACATATGAAAAACACTTGTTATGTTTAGTTATTAGCAGACCAATTACTGTATTCACAACATGTGATAGGAGGAGAAGAGCAACAGCTGGGGACAGATTCTTGAATGGAGCTGCTTTAGCCCAGTGTTAGCCAAGCATGAGCTAAATAGAAGCATGATAAATCAACTGTGGCTACCTCGAGGTGTAGTGTTGGCAAAGAGTCCTGGGGTTCTAAATAGTCACAGTGTAATACCAGAAGCAAAGCTATATTAAAATTTAAAAATTCTTACAACTCTTACAACTATGACATATAAATGGTTAATATACTTAAATGTAAAGAAAGTTTTCAAAGCAATTCAAAACAGAAATATTATAATTTTGAAAAAGGTACAGGTAACAAAGTAAAAAATTCCAGCAGCAGTACACACACACAAAAAGGCTCAACTTCGTGTGTGATCTAAATAACAAATATATGACACTTTCACTTAAATGGGCAAAATTTAAGAGAAGAGTAATACCAGTATGAGTAATAGCTGGGGAGATTAGTACTCTAGCAGTATGAATTGTTTCAACCTTTCGTAAGGTCCATTGGTAATATGTATCAAAAACATTTAAAATGTTCACACCCTTTGACCCAGCAATTCTTTTAGGATTTTACTATAAGGAAACAATATGCATAAATAATTTATGTATGGGGCTGTTCGGGGCAGTTTTATTTATGATAGCAAGAAAGAGAAAACAATCTAAAAGCTCAACAGAAGAAGGTTAATTAAATACATTTTGGGTGGTTGATGTTTGTGTCATTTAAACTTTTTTCTTTATACCTTTATGTATTTTGCAAATATTGTACACCAAATATATATTAGAAAATAACACTAGTGTAGGAAGGAGAATGCAGAGATGGGATTCCAGGCGGGTGGTATTAGGGGAGCTAGTTTGGCAGCTGATTGTCATCGGGAATCCTTCCTGGGTGTCAGAAGCCCAGCTTTTAGTTTGAGGTACAGGACAAGTCCATTCCCAGTGTGGGGTTCTGGCATAAACATTTCATGTCCTCCCCCACTCTCCCACCCCGACTCAGAGTTCCAAGAATAGACAGGTCAATATAATGGAGACCAAGAGACCGTGAGTATGCAGTGGGACCCAATACATGGATAGAGATAGGAGGTCTTTTTTTGGTGGTGGTGGAGTAGGTGGTGGTGGTGGGGTTTGACACTGGATGCTTAGAGATCAGTGGAGAAGTCCAGTAGTCTACTCTGATCCCAGCCTGCATGCTGGGTCAGGACTATCTCAAGAGTTACTTTTCCAGCACGGGATTCCAGGACACTTCCTCAGTTTATTTACTTCAATCTCTCCTCCAGAGAATTGGGGCCTGAGCATGCTGAAACACTTCTTATTTCAAGGTCAGGCTGGTCTGTGGCTACCATCAGCTTGGGAGAGCTAGAAAGCAAGGAGATAAGAAGTGAGCTGTGGGCTGATAGTGGAGTCCCCACGCATTGTTCTGTGGGGAAATATCCTGTCTTTTCTGATGCAAGTTCCTTTTTTTTTAACTCCATTGCTGGAGTCCATTGTGACCTGCATTTATTATTAGTGAAATTCCATTAGAACAAACTATTGCTGAATTGTCCAGATTCTTTGTGGCATTTAATATTACTTGAGACAAGTAGACTGCTGACCAGAACTTTGAATGTGCACTGAAATATTTGTTAAAATGGCTTTTGTTAAGGCTATGCTTTTTCACTTCCCCTATGTTGCTTGAAAGGGGCGTGGTAGTAATTTGAGACATTTGGGATGAGAAAAAGCCCTTTTTTTGAATGGGGTATCTCAATGGTAATATGAAAAGACCTAGTAAGAAACTTTAACATCTGTTATAGCCTCTGTAATAAGGGGTTCACATAAAGTTGGAAGCATAATAGAAGCTGTCAGAGTCCCTATCTAACTTCCTGAGCAATCTCCTGTGTTTGTTTCCAGGGCTATGAGATACATATGCTTGATATTGCCATGAATATTACGGCTTACCTTGGGAATACTACTGACAATTTCTTTAAAATTTCCAACCTGAAATTGGGTCATAATTATACTTTCACTGTCCAAGCAAGATGCCTTTTTGGCAGCCAGATTTGTGGGGAGCCTGCTGTCCTGCTATATGATGACTTAGGATCTGGTGAGTTGCTATTGCTGCTAGTTTCTGTCTTCCATTCCGGGAAAATACATCAAGGATGTAGTATGGTTTGATTAAAATGTGTTTTTCAAAATGCATTTGAAATATTATTTCAATTCAAAAGAAAATCATTTATTTATCAATTTAATCAGGCATCGATTTATTTACAAATACTTCCTGAGCCATGGTGTAAGGAGCTGGAATTACAAGGTGACCGACCACACTCTGAATGTCAAGCCCAAGAAAAGAAAGGCTAACAGGTTTTGTTTAAAAAGGAGATTCTATTTAGGAAACACTAGATTAATGAGTTTTGTTGGTTTTTGTTGTCTTTATTGTTTTTAGGACTTTTCAGAGCCTCCAATATGCTAATATTCCCTAGGATTCTCCAAGTTGGTTAATAATCTCCCTCTTGTAGAGTAACTAATTTTACAGCCTTCCCCTTTATTTTAACTGTCAGCCTCAGCTCAGAACAAGGATTTGGCCTGAGATCTCTCTCTTATGGACACTCAAAGATATCACTATTGGGTTATGCTGATGGCAGAGGAGAGGAAACTTCCATTTACACAGAAATTCTGCTTATATGGTAGCAGCTTGACCAGGATTTTAAAAAACATTTTGCCACTGGTCTTTTTAGTTTTATTTACTTCCAGCCAAGAACGAACCAGTGCTCAGGCCAAAATCTTATGTTAGAGTTATTATGTGTTCTGTCGCGTCAGGCATCCCGGGATATGTTCTGGTGGAATACTTACCCTTGGTACCACCATAAAGGAGGGAGCCTTGCATATCATAACCCTTTGGTGATTCAAAGCATCATACAGGTTCTTAGAAGGTCCTACAGAAAACAACCAACCAAACTTCTAGCGTTTCCTAAATAGAGCCTCCTTTATAAGTAAAACCAGTCAGCAACTGTTGAAATAGACTGGGGAAAACCGTTGTGAGAATACCTGCCAGCTGCTTTATAAAGCCAAGATTGTCTAACAGAAAGAATCTTTTGGTCAGACCTCTCAGTCTAAATCTTGCCCTTTGCTGTTCTCTGTCCCCTTGGAAGTGGAGTGGAGGGCAGAGGCTCACTCATTCCTGTCACCACCATTCTGGCTTCCTGCTCTAGCCGAGAGCATTTGAGGTTAGATATTAAGACACATGAAAAGATTTTGCTGGAGTTTTTTTGTTTGTTTGTTTGGTAGGGGTGGTGTTCGGTAAGTCAATAATGAAAGGAATTAAAGACACAAATATTAAATTGTTAGATTAGCCTCGCAAGAAATGGCTCTCTGGTCCATCTTCATGAGTGCCCTGTTGGGAAGAATCCCAGGAAACTACTGGATTTCTTCATGAGCAGAGGCCTGGCCCACATCATCTTACCTTATACTAGGGAATAGCCTCAGACTGAGCAAGGCTCCTCCTGGAGACCTAGAGAGTCCTTTTTTGCTTCCTTAACTAAAACTGACTCAGATTTCCATTTCCCTGCCTCAGACTCAGACTTTCCCAAGAATTTCTGACTTAAAAACCTTACCCCTTTCAGGAAGACTGGTTCTAACCCAACAGGGGGTGTCTTTGCCCTAGAGCCTTGTTGATACATCATCATAAAACTAGGATTTGTTCAAAATAATGAAAAGAGGGTGGCATTGTTAGGTTATAGACACTCAAATGGCTTTGTAAAGAGCTTTTAGAAAATGTTAAATATATATGAAAACATTCCCTGGCTCTCTCTTTTATTTAAGTAAAAACTCATAAAACTTCATGAGCTGTTAAGGCAATATTGCTGGTCTGTGTCACTTAATGGAGCTTCAGGTAATTGCAGTTCAGAGAGACTTTGGTGCCAAGTAGGGGGAAATAATTGCAATCTTGTTAATTAGTGGTCTGATTTCACATCCTCTTATGTAAGGCAGGCAAGTGGTCTTAAGTAATAATGCTAATGAAATCAATGTTGATACCCCAACAAAGGTCTCCTTTCCAAGAGATTATCTAAATAACCAACAAGGCAGTGATTAGGAGTCTAATGTAATTACCGTATTTGCATGCACAAGGTCCATGATCTATCAGCTCATGGCAAAGAGTCAGGAAACATTCAGACGTCACGTTCAGGGACATGTCATACCAGGCAGGCGGTTTGAGTGGCTGTTGAAAACACCTAGCTTTTTTGGTGGGAGGGGTGTTGAGGAGTTAACTGATCCCTTCTCTTGCCCTTAGTAAGAGGTTTATGGGTTGGTATCTTGCCTTGGCAGGTGGAGATGCGTCAGCGCTTCAGGCTGCCAGATCTACTGATGTTGCTGCTGTTGTGGTGCCCATCTTATTCCTGATACTGCTGAGCCTAGGGGTTGGGTTTGCCATCCTGTACACAAAACATCGGAGGCTGCAGAGCAGCTTCACCGCCTTTGCCAATAGCCACTACAGCTCCAGGCTGGGCTCAGCCATCTTCTCCTCAGGGGACGACCTGGGTATGTGGTTCTTCTTCACAGGGCAGACCCCACAAAATCAATGACTTGATTAGGAAGTATCACCTTAAGCTCATCTTTTGACTCTAGAAGTTATGCATTAACGAATGATCTCACTGCTTTGGGTTAAACCAGTTGGAGACATTTACTTTGAATTTGCTCCAAAGTTAAAGTCCCAGTATTCTCTTCAATAGTGTAGTCTGGCCCCAAGGTGGGGAACTGTTTTTGTGGAAGCACTTCTAGGAGCTTGCCTTGTATAGGAAGGACAGGCTCTGGGCTTTGAGTACTCCCAAAGTGTTGGCAAATTCTCAAGAATTTCAACCCTTCTCATCCTTCACAGACCTGGAGGTCTGATATCTCTAGAAATTCTAGTCAAGACAAAAAGTCATGCTTTCCAAATCTGCTTCTGTCCGAAGAAGTCCTTTCCATCTTGTTTCTCTTTCTGACTGTTAGTGCAACCTCACTGGCCATTCTTCTTTTATGTTTTGATAACGTATAGCATGGGAAAAAGAAGGAAATATTTTTTGTTATAAACGTCTGCACATTCAAACATTAAATGCTAATTGAGCAAGTCAGCCACTTATTATAATAAAGTGAGTATGTTTGGGGACCTTCCCCAAACTCAGGTTTCTACAGACTCAGAATGCTGGATATAAGTGAGTTTACATATTGATTTTTTTCTGTAAACTAATAATAATTTTTTTTTGTTTGTTTGTAAAGATTTTTATGTATTCCCATTCACTGATCATTCGATATTAACTCTGCTTGCTTTTCTTCTCAGTTTCCTTTTTTGCTTATTATAAGTTCTTGAACTGCTTGCTTTGCATGAATGGAGTGGGTTCTTTGTTTCTGTTATTGCAGGCACAAGGAGTTGACCTATTATATGGTGCCATGCAACGATTACTGAATTTGGATTGGTACTTAGTTGTACAGAATTGTACCAGGGGCCATGAAGGGGCAACCATTAGTCTGGGAAGCTGTCCTCAAAGTACTTACTCCCCTCTAAGATCTTTTTTTTTTTAGATTAACATGGGTGCAAAGGAGAAAACAGACAATGAAATTCACTGTGCTAGCACAGGGTGTGAATAACTCAAATTGGGGAACTTAAACCACCCATTGGACTTTTGAGTGGGTAGTAAGATTCTCTTTCCTACAAAATTGACTTTACTTATTTAGTTAAATTCAAGCTACCATTAAAATAATCTTGGCCACCCATTGATGGAGAGGTGACCTAAGAGTGTCAGAGACAAGCTGGGCTAGGTTTCAGCATTGGTTATTTTGTCCAGCTACTGTGCTAACTTTCCTAGCTGATGCTTGTGATGGGGTAGGAAGTGGGAGGGACTCAGCGGTGGGAGGTGGGATCAGACACAAGTGAGGTGGAACTCACTAAGGACTAACTGTTTTGCCTTTAGGAGAGGACGATGAAGATGCTCCGATGATAACTGGATTTTCAGATGACGTTCCCATGGTGATAGCCTGAAAGAGCTTTCCTCACTAGAAACCAAATGGTGTAAATATTTTATTTGATAAAGATAGTTGATGGTTTATTTTAAAAAATGCACTTTGAGTTGCAATGTTATTTTTATATGGGCCAAAACAAACAAACAAACAAACAAAAAACAAAAAAACAAAAAAAAGGAATGAATAAACTTTGTAGTAATCAACTGTGAACTTCAAACCAGGTTGATTTTAGTAACCAAATTGCTTTGACTTGATATTAATGTAGTCTTACAGGGCTGTGCTTGCTGGGCATGCTTTTACATTTGTAAGATAATTTTGATTCAAGAAATTGGCCATTCTTTTTATTTTTCTAAGACACAGAAATGTAGTTAATAAAAACTTCAAGAGAGAGTGATGGGGGGAATCCTTCCTCCTTGAAAGTATGCTCAAATTTTAAATTTTGTTTGGGTTTAGTTTATATGAAAGTGTTTGGGTGTATTATGGGGGAAAGTTCTTTCACGTTATTTTGTTAATTTATTGAGACTCTGTGTAAGGCAAGGCTTTAGTGGCCACCTGACACCATACATGTTATGAGTCCCTCGCCCATAGGGTTTTGGGGTAAGAAACAGGAGCAGTTTTATTAACTTGTGTATTTGGCAGGAAAGCATGTTGAGTCATTGCTCCATTTCAGTTAAACAAAGCTGCAGCTTGGGAAGCCTTGCAAGCAACAGCTTCCTCTTTATTATTAATTAATGGAATCTTACATATACACCTCTGTACGAGATGTGGCCTTCAAAGCTACAAAATAGTACCACTTTTTTTATTATACACTGGTGTCATTGTCATTGCAAAAAATTACTCTGGGTGTGAGAGAGAGTTCTAGATCTGTGCCATGATAGATACACTGGCAAATATAGAACCATTTTTGATTTTTTTTTAATTTATTTTATTTTTTTTTATTTTTTACTTATCACTGAAGAATCTCAAATGTAAAGTTTTGTATTTGTGTTGGGGTACCACTTATTGTCCTTAAAAATCCATACTGATATATGCAGTCATTTTGCATTGGGTCAGTGCCTTCTCTTTTTTTCTTTCCTTCCACTTCCCTTGCCCATACTCCTACCCCATTTAAAGAGAAAGTGCTATTTACTCTTACAGCGATACTGGAGGTCTACGAATTTGAAACCATTCAATCCGATTCATAGTAGCAGTGATCCTAGAATTTATTCTCTCTGTAAAATAAACTGGGAGTTTTTTCCTTTCTTTAAATGCCATTCCTGTATTCATATCATGCCCCATGATAGGTATGTGGAATCCATTGTGCACTGATTCGCACCCTTTAGACTTACTGATGTAAGCACCAAGCTCTAGCATTGTTGTGACCCTTACTGTATGAACTTCACTGCAGAACTTCTTCCCAGCCAAGAAGCAGTGAGCTCTGGAGATGTTCCACAGTCACACTTTCGAATATGTGTCCTTTACACACCAGCTTTCTAAAAACTCCATCTCTTCTTAGATGCAATGCATCTCTTTCTCACAAGTATTTGCTTTCTTTTAACCAAAAGAATCACTCTTGGGTAATAATATAGTTTCCTTCTACCTAGGAATTGTTTGGAAAACAAAGAAATAATTACATATTTTAGTTTAAAAAATATATATTTTTTGGATGAGGGGTATTTTAAATTGTAGACATTTAATATGTCATGTAGGTAAGGTTTCATTTTATTTCAACAAGTAGTAGTGATAATGAGCCTTCTTCCAGCATATTTTCTCTTCTGTTACTCTCTTTTGTTATTTTTTTAAAGACTGGAATTTCTTCGGCTTTATTTTATCTTACCTTGGAGTTTTGTTGAAAACTCCATGCCCTACCACTTCCCCTTTAGTAAGCTTTTTAAGTAGCTGAAAGAGTAACAGTCTGGTGGGAGGGAAGTCATCTAACTGAACCACTAGAAAGTATATATATTTTTATTTTTCTGCCAACTTTTTGGTGGCATTGGTAAAAGCTGATATCAAAGGCTCTGAGACTTTATTTTCAGTTATTCCAGAGACAAACCTTTTTACAGAACATATGTCTCCAGTTAGCAACTTAAGATATTTGTGAGCATCCAATTCTAGTTACCAGTGCCTCCCAATGCTTAGTACACAGTACTGTATAGAACAGCCATCACCCCTTTCTTTGGAAAATGCCACTGTGCTGTTTGAGAAAATGCAGACTTTTAGGTCTAGAGTATTTTATATAAACAGAAGAGCTAAGTTCCTGAAAACTAAGCTAGATAGAGGCAGCTATGTGTAAATTGTATATTTTTATGTACTTTTGAAGCACGCACTCTTATTTCCCTCTGCATAGCTTTGTGGTTTTTCGATGTATATGTGCTGTCTGTAAAAATCCAGAGGTTGGAGTGACAGTAGGAAGTAAAAACAAAAACTATGTGCAGCCTTCGAGAGTGATCAGATAATTGTCTTCACTGTGACCAGCTGGAGCCCCTGGTTGTTTGTGAAGAAGGGACTTTTGTACCTCATTGAAGACACCACCTCAAAAGTTCACACTGTACAAGGAAAAGGTTTTATTTTCCCCCAAGGCACATTAGAATGAGCATTGGAAGTGGACCACGATGGACATACCACTAAAATTTGGCAGGCAGGGGAATTGAGTACAAATTTCCTTTGGAAGTTGATTTTGCCCCTTTATGTACTGAATGATTTTGAGCCTTATGAGACGTGGGTTTGTGCAGATAAAATGACAGTGTAGGGTTCTGCAGAAGATTCCAGGGAGAAGCCATATCTATTTTCATACTGATGAGTAGCTCCAGTAACTACTGGTTATCCTGGCAAGTTGGGGAGATATTTACAATTCTGGGTAGCTGATTGAAACTTTTTACTTTGGGAAAAGGATTCCTGTCATTCCATCTTGGGTAGTATCACAAGGGGTATTTGAGTGGGACAGATGTAAGACACACAGCTGCATGTTCTCTCCTGCCTATCATGTGTGGTCCATTAGATTAAACTTCCGCATTTTAAGGAATGTAACCCTTCTCAAACCAGTGGCCATTTTGGGAGGAAAGTGGGGAGAGTGGTGGTGTTGTGAGGCCCTTACAGATGATCACCCACTCCTCCGTGGAGACTCCTGCCTTTGAGTAGCCACCTAGCAGCTGATCATCTAGTGAGATTATAATCTCAGTACTTCCCTAAGGGCAGAAACCCCATCCTGTCAGGTTTTGTTGATCACTTTCCCGCCAAGAGGGTCATGGTGAATTCCTGGAAAGGATGTTCTCTTCCTTCAGCAGAGGGTTAGGAGGTCGCTAAAGAAGGGTTCTAGGGCTCTAAGCAAACTGAATACCACCTCCATATTGATTTTAGGAATTGACTCAAAAAAAAAAGAAGAATCTTCACTTGTGTTGGGATTGTATCTTGACCTTCCTATTATGTTATTTTTCTTAACAGGTGTGTGTGCTGCCTTTCAGGTACAATTTTTGTGTAATAAAAGCCAGTGCATTAAGTTTATATAGACTTCTTTCTATGCAAGACTGAAATATGGAATAGATAGCAAGAGATATATGTACTGATGGGTACATGGTCAATAAACATGTTTTCGAAGGGGTATCAACACTGAATGTGGATTGAGGGAGGATAGTTTGTATATATGTTTCTGCTCACTAATTCTGAGCAGCCATATTATGAATTAAATCATCAGAGCCAAATAACTCAAGAATGGTATTAGTTTGATGTGTATTAGTTCAAATAGAATATGTATGAATGCTGAACTGGGACATTATTCTCAGATAGTCCATGTGATTTTTCATTTAAAGACTCTTGTTATGAATTATTAGAAACTTTAGGCAAAAATCAAAAGTATCTGCTACAAAATAAAGGCCTGCTCTGCTCTTATTTAAAGTGAGACACTGTATACTTATTTCTCTCCAAAGTGAAAGTAGGTATTTATGATTTCAATTGCCTTGGTTTCCAAATCACTGATTATGCTGAAGATTTTACTATATTGTTGCACAATTTTAAGATAATTTTTGTCACAATGTCAACTTTTTCACTGAATAAAAATTTAACTGGGTCATGAAAACACCTATTTGAAAATTCGCTCTATGCGTGTCTTGCGTTGTTCTTTTGAGTGCAATAAAGATGGTTAATACAGTCTCTGACCAGTGTTTGATGTGTTTGTTTTAGAAGAACATTTATTTCATAGTTGAGAGAACACTAAGACCTGGAATAATTTTGTTATTAACAAACTAGTCTCAGGTGGTAGCTCCTTGAAGAACGTGGTGTCTTTGTGTTAGCTGAGGAGTGGGAGATGTTGTGGAGGTTGTTTTGAAGTAAATAGAATTATTCATGAGGGGAGATGACTAAAGTGGGTCCCGTAAAGGTGTGACTACATTTGCTAAGAAGGTAATTTCCAAATCTAAGAGAAGAAAGGACAGCAGTATGATGAGCTGTGTGCCAAAGAGCACTTTTAGGAGGTTTCCACAGGCAGTGAAGTCTTGTGAAGAATGCTGCATTTTCCTCTAATCAGTAGCTGGATGGCAAATGGATCTATAAGTCAGGATTGGAAAGTGTGGAACTTGGGGGAAGGGGATAGGTGTTTGTTTTTGTTTTGTTTTGTTTTAGTTAAATTTATCGGGTTCGCATTGGTTAATAAAATTATCTAGGTTTCAAGTGTTCAACAGTATGTCATATGTTTACTGCTTTTAGTTTTTACCACCCAAAGTTAAGTTTCCTTCTGTCACCTTATATTTGATCCCCTTTACCCATATCTATCCCTTACCCCCTCAAGTAACCACTAAACTGTTGTCTGTGTCCATGAGTCTCTATCTCGTTTGTTTGTTGCATTCAGTTTCATATCCCACATATGAGTAAAATCATATGGTTCTCAACTTTTTCTCTCTGACCTATTTCACTTAGCATAATAATCTCAAGACCCATCCATGTTGTTGCAAATGACAGTATTTCATCTTTTCTTATGGCTAAGTAATAGTCCATTGTATATATGTACTACATGTTCTTTATTAATCATCTGTTGAAGAGCACTTTGGTTGTTTCCATGTCTTGGTCACCATGAATTATGCTGCAGTGAAAATCAGGGTGCATATATCTTTGCATATAAATGTTTTCAAATTTTGGGGTTAGATAGCCAGAAGCGGAATTGCTGGGCCATATTAATTTTTACAGGAAACTACATACTGTTTTCCATAGTGGCTATACCAATTTACATTCTCACCAGCAGTGTGTGAGAGTTCCTTTTTCCTCACAACCTCTCCAACACTTGTTATTACATGTCTTGTTGATGATAGCCATTCTAATAGGTGTGAGGTGGTGATATTGTGGTTTCGATTTGTATTTCCCTAATAGCTAGTAAAGTTGAGCATCTTTCCATGTGTCTGTTAGCTATTTGTATATCTTCTTGGGAGAAGTATCTGTTCAGATCCTCTGCCCATTTTTTAACTGGATTGTTTGAAGTTTTTGTTGTTGTTGTTGAGTTGTGTGAGATCTTTATGTATTCTGGGTATTAGCTACTCATCAGAGGTGTTCTTTGCAAATATCTTCTCCCATTCAGTTGGTTGCCTCTTTATTTTGTTGATGGTTTCTTTTGCTGTGCAGAAGCTTTTTAGTTTGACATAGTCTCATTTATTTAATTTTGCTTTCACTTCTCTTGCCTTTGAGGTCGAATTCATTAGAGGTATTTTTGATTTAACAGATCTAGTATGCTGCTCTTGTTTAAATATTGAGCCCAAACAAATCTGCAGTATTTTCATCCTGTTTCATAGATGAGGTAAAAGAGGCTCAGAAAGGTTAAGTAACTTGTTTAAGGGAAACTAGAAAGTAAATAGCAAAACCAGCCTTCATTCAGTGCCGGGTATATCTGCCCCCCGATCCTGTTCTCTATCATTGTACCACACTGCCATCTGTCAGCATTCAGTGTAATAAAGACACACTCAACCCAGCACCTTGCACCCAGAATGGGATACCTACCACCTGAGTGAATTTACCTGCCCATGGCCTAGCCCTCAGATTTTTAGGTTTAGATCATGTATTGTCAATGCATAATAGTGAATTCATCTCTGGTGGGCAAATGCACATTAACCAAGCTCATGAGACTGATATGCAACAAAAGAGTAAAGCCCATTTATTAACTCACCATGGGAAGTAGTCCTGTCACTTAGAATGTTAGCATCACTGTTGCATTCTCCCCCTATAGAGACATCTATCCAGGAAGCCAGTCACAATTAGAAGGTTGCTTGGTGAGCATGGATATAGAATAAAGGAAGTGAGAGGGGTCCAGGCAAGAATAGTAGTTACACAGTAAATACTGAATGAACAAACAAATGATTGACACTCCACTACAGGAATAACTTAGTATTTGAAACCTTCAAGTTACAACTCCCTGTATACATTTTTATTTAAAAAGTCTTGCTAATGGGCTCTTATTTCCTGAAGTCCCTTCTCAAAAGATTCCCCTGGATGGGGCTTGGGCACTGCTCATATCTGCCACTTTCGATTTATCTTTTTCTGTATTTTGTGGTTGAGCACACCAATCCCCCTCACTAAACATTCTATAGCTAATGTCAACACATTCAGACTGGGTTATGATAAAATTTTCCTGGCTTGAGAACCATTGTATCTGTAAGATTATTCTCCCTGCTGTGTGTTGATTTTAAAGTTTAACTCTGGATGGACAGTGTTTGAATCCTAGGCGGGTATCTCAACGTCGCTCCCAAATTCTGACTACCTCTGTCAGCTATGAGTATCTGGTTCCCCAGCCCACAGCAAATTTAAAATGGAAAGAGACTGCTACAGGAGACAAACTGACAATAAAATAAAGATAAGAGCCTTATAGTTAGACTATCAGAAAACCTTTATTAGAGATAAAGGAACTCAACAAACAATGGATTAGGGCCATTTGGTTTAGGCCCTATTGGCCCAATAGGGACAAAATCCTACACATTAAGTAGCCCACTCAATTAGAATAATAGTTCCTTTCTATTGAACCCCTGTTCTTTGCAGTGCTATGCTAAACTCTTTATAAACTTTTTTTTTTTATTCTAAAAGTGATCTTATGATTTAAATATTAATCTTTGCTTTAAAAGATGTGATAATTTACTCTTGAGAGGGTAATTTCTGTAAGATCTCATTTGGTAAGTAAGTGGCAAAGTCAAGATTCATACCTAGATTTATTCCATTCTTAAGTCCTTATTCACCATGCTACTTTGCCCCTTTGGTACAATATTAGAGATCTGTAATAGTAATAACTGTTTAGGAAATTTAAGAATACAGGTAATACACTTTAAAATTTTTTCATTTAAGTATAGTTGGTATAGAATATTAATTTAGGATGTACAGTATAGTAATTTGACATTTATATACCTTACAGAGTGACCACCACACTAAGTTTAGTAGTCATCTGTCACTATGCAAACTTACCACAATATTGTTAACTATATTCCCCTGACCTTTTCCACCCATCCCCCTACTGCCTATCAGTTTGATCTCTGTAAGTCTGGTTTTGTTTTGTTATTTTAGATTCCACATATAAGTGAAATCTTATGATATTTGTCTTCCTGACTTACTTCACTTAGCATAATACCCTCTAGGTCTATCCATGTTGTTGCAAATGACAAGATTTCATTCTTTTTTTTAGAGCTGATTAATATTCCACTATACCAATTTGCAATCCCACCAACAGCCCACGAGGGTTTTATTTTCTCCACATCCTCATCATCACTTGTTATTTGTTGACTTTTTGATAATAACCATTCTACTGGTGTGAGGTGCTATCTCATTGTGGTTTTGATTTGCATTTTTTTAAAAGGATTTCCACTAGAAAGATTAAAATTGACATTTGGAGACATAAAAAAAAGTATACTTAAATTTCTTTGCAAAATTATTTGTATGGAACACAATATTCCCTATTGATGCAAAATCAGTGAAGTCTGGTTGTTTTTTTGTTTGTTCGTTTTTTGTTTGTTTTGTTTTTTTTGATTGGAAAATGTTTTGTAAAGAATTTAGTAATTAGAAACTGAGAGATTCCTTTGCTTTGCAACAATCCAGTTAGATTTTATCAAAATCCTTTGCATCTTGAAAAAAGAATGTTCAGTACACATTTTATTCACCTTTACTTATATACATTGAGGGGCACACCATTGTAACGTGTTCTATTAAGGCAGTAATTAATCTAGCCCAGGACATTAGGGTCCCAGCAAACGGAGGTGGCTACCATTATTTTCATCCAGTCCTAACTGACTTTGATGCCAGGGCCCCATTAATTTTCTTTTAAGATTATGTGTAGAGTAATTCGAGTCAGCAAATATTTACAGAAGAGCAATGGTGTAAAAAATGCAAATGTTATCGTGATATCGCAGCCCTATTTAATGCCCAAATGACAACTGGTAATATTTTAGTATGTTTGTATGAAAACAATGACATTTCACACTTAAAACTTGGCATTAGCAAACTTTGAGGGGAAAAAGAAGACTCAAATTTAAATGTAAATCAGCCTTTTCTGAAATTTGCCTTTTGGCTATAAACTAGTTTGAAAAACCTTCAAGATTAATTGTATGAAGCGGTCTCATAAGTAAACTTATTTTTAACTTCTCTATAGCTGAGGCAGAACCTATTAGTTACTTAGGGATTGATCAAGCGCTAGATGGTGCTGAACAGTCTGGGTGTGTGTCTGCACATGTGTTTTATGGAATTCTTCATAGGCAGTAGATCAACACTAGAACATTAAACTCTTGACGTCATAAGTACACCTATTTCAATCCCCAAACAGCTTGATTGCTCCCAAGAATTAGAACATCTTCAAAGGAGGAAATTTTATCTACATGAAGTGATTCAAGGGAATGTGTTTAATAAATACAATACTCCCAAAAAGCGGTCCAAAAATATTCTGAGCAATGATAGTATCATGGCAATAAATAATAGCAAATATGTAATTGCTACATGCCAGGCATTATTCTGAGGGTTTCTTACATATCAGCTCATTTAATCCTCATAACACTTCTTTAAGGAGCATATTATTATTCTGACATTATAGATAAGGAAACTGAAGTACAGAAAGATTGAGAAATTTACCCAAGGTCACAACA